GTAGTTTATACAATTAAAAAATAATTAATTAGAATAAAAAAACAACATTCTAAATGGAGATCAGTTTAAATTGTAAAATATTATATTGAAATAATGACAGTCACATCAAATGTCTTTTTAGTTAATGTAGTTTACACTATGTGAGTTCACATATTACTATGAACTACTAATGAAAACAAAAATCTAAAACTTATCCATTGAGTATTTATAAATGATTAATTTTAATGGGCTTTTGAGAATTATTTACTATCCAAAAAAAGTAAGGAATTTTTTTAGTAATCCTAATAACTTAATTAGACTTTTTTTATATAGATAATTTTATCTAAAAACACAAAACTTACTTAAGTGATTGAGAACATTCTTAGGAACCCAGTCCATATCAATTTGTTTGCTTGTTTTTGTTCCAGTTTCCAAATTTGCTCTAGTGCGACTTGGCAGACCACCTCCAACACGTTTCTTTCCCACTGAATACAGAAACTGTTGTCCACCGACCAAAAGAAGAACACATGCAGCAGCCATTAAGACATACAAAAACAGAGTTTCACCATCCAAACCTTCTTCAACTTCAATAATGTTTACAGTATCGTTGTATAGTTTACTAATCATTTGTTTTCCTTCCTAAATACATAAATTATAACTAATTATAACTCATAAAATAAATTATAAAATAAAAACTTACATAGTCTCTATAAGCAAGATTAATGCTGAGTCCAAATGGACGTCCAGCAAAAGCGTCGGCTGGGATAAATGCATAGCCAAGAGTAGCCTGTGATCCTGGTGGAATGGTTTTTTCTAATAATACGGTAGTGAAATTTTGAATATGRAAATTGAAATCCATAGGGTAACGAAGTGAAGCATCTAATGTTTCCAAAACTAAATCATTAGATCCTTTATTGGTAAATCCCACAAGAAATTCTGACAAACGACCAGCTGGCAATTCTAATAAAAAAATTAAACACTTTATAAATAATACAAAATAGGTAAAAATAAATAAAAATAAGATATAAGATTTATTGTTGTGTTATCAATCTTATTTGCAGTARATTTGTTATGATTTTATAATTTTATATATCTATATAGGTACTACCTACCAAAATCAAATTTTATTCAATAGTGCTTCTAATACTATTTACAAAACAATAACTATAATATTTCAGTTTCTCAAATCAAGATTTAATTGGTATAAGATTTAAACGCAAATATAAATTTAATTAATACACTGTAGTGTCTTATAAATCCATGCACAATATGTCAATATTTGTATTATAATGAGTACTACCATTGAATGTTCTAATAACGACTAATAGCTTTATGCCATAGATCCAGGAACTTGATACCCCTTTAAAGACCTATATGAAACTATTTAGCATTGAGAAGAGTACTGAAGAGTTGTGTAAAGGTTTGCAATTTACCAATGCTGGCTTTCTCTTCGAACACCGGTTTGGTGAARAGCAAGTATGTGTCAGCATCTGACGGCTCTAAGTCTTCGATGGTAGACTCATCGCCCTCTGTCTCGACTAGTCCTTGGTCCTCGCTTACAATCATCTCTTCGTCAGGGTCAATATCGTTTTCAGCCTTCGCGACACCTATAACACAAGTAGTATTTGGGTCAGGATTTTGAAAAACGAGCCGAACACCAATCGTTGGTACTACTATATAGGTACAACTAGAATACCTGCGGACACGGCAATCAGGGACAAGCACAGCAACATCCATTTGAACTCCATCTTTGAATTAGGTAGCGGAGTTCAGTACAAGGCRAACAAAATTCAAACCTCGAGAGCGAAATGACTAAGTGACGATATGATGAAAGTAACGGACACGTCTAACAACAGTGACAACCACGGCGCTTCATCATTACGAGTCCACACGGTGGCCAATGGGCTTAATGACGTTGCCGGCTGTAGTTGCGGACGTGGAAAACGTCACGGCACACCGGACGATTATCCGTCGGTAAATCAGGCTGGCAAACTTAATTTTTCCGTTTTCATATTTTTGAGGAAATCAGAATCTAATATCATCCATAATCATAAATGACAAAATAGTGATAAGGTGCTCGAAAATCGTGTCTGTCTATATTACCATAGACTAATACTTAATAGAGTATAATAATATTATGTGAATACTTAAAATGTTTCTTTTTCTTATACAAAGGATGGTACCTTACTCATATATATAAGAATATATATATATTAGCATTAAGCATATTTTACATTTTAATATATAAACATGAACAAATAAAATAATGCAATGTGTTTATTATAATGGATGATAAAATTATATTTATGATAACATTATAACAATTTTGTTTTTGATAACAACAAAATGATAACGACGGTGGTGGTCACAGACTACTACAACAGAGTGAACAGACTACAGTAAGTTGTAGTACAGTYCGTGCCTCCGTGGTGGTGGTCTAATGTCTAGTCGAATGGACGGTAATAATATATAATAGATAATAATATAATAATACGGTATAGACCTTAGATCATATATGATCTAAGTATGGACAGACCACGATTTAAGATATACAGTAGAATCCGCTAATTTTGGACACCGCATAATGGGGACAAATTGGCATAGTCCCGAACGGATGTAAAAGTTTAATGCAATTTAACTTCGTTTATCCGGGACAAATCATCGGTTATAAGGGACAAAAATAAAAGTGTTGAACTAGATATTCTGACCTAAATTATCTACTTTCTTATCGAAACTGTAATTATCAAAACTTTATGGCTCTATTAGGTATTTTATATACGCAAGTATATGTATAATGTACATACAGGTAATGTACGTATATCTTACGTCAATTATGTCAATCATTTTTTTTCTACTACCACAATAAGAGTCAACTAGCCTACGTACAAAATTGAAAACCTTTAGTTCACGTTCTTTCGTCGATACATGTAGGGGCTAATAATAATTATAGCCATGAATTGCCCATGATTAAAGATTTATTTCTATAATATTATATATTTTGGGCATGACGCATGATCTTTCCATTTATATAATATTATAATTTATAATTTAATTTAGAAGATTATTTACGGCCCACGCAAGAAGTCCGTTGTTTTATGTAGCACATAGATGGCGCAGTTAAATACGATTTTTGTTATAATTTTATTTTTATTATAAAATTATTTATTATTTATTTTCAATAATTTTAAGAGGACGCTACACCCGCCAAATTGTATGCTAAGCAGATCACGTTTAGCTACGTTAGTTTAACATTTAGAGTAAATTGACCTTTTACAAAAATTAAAGGTAACATTATTATCGAGGGCATCTCCTAGGCTTTTTATTATATCTTAATTTTAAAGTGAGTTATGTGTATTTAAAAATTGTAAATTGTTTGTATATCTTAAAATACTTAAATACTCATAACTCACTTTRAAATAAAAATATAATAAAAAGCCTACGAGTTTCCCTCGATAATAATGTTACCTTTGATTTTTGTAAGAGTTCAATTTTTTCTTAATTTTAAACTAACGGAACTAAACGTGATCTACTTAGCATAAAATTTGCTATGTTACGCACTTATAAAGCCTTGTTTACACGTGACGAGTACTCGGCCGTGTCACTCGTTATGTTGCTCGGTCTTGGTAGTGGGGGTAGTCACTCGGCCCAGCGAATAGAAACTGTTTCTATTCACTCGCCCGCTTATTTTACTCGTCCAATTACTAGGCCGAGTACTGGTTCCTTGAGTTCACACGGGACAGTGCTCGGCCGAGTACTCGTCACGTGTAAACAAGGCATAAGACGGAGACAACATAATATGCGGGTGTAGCGTCCTAAGAGGACGCCACGCGGGCATTTGTCGCCTCGGTAGTCGGTCTTACATACGTTCAACATGGCAAATTTGATGTTCACAATAATACATTTTATATTGTGATTTTAATAATTAGATTTAATTTAACTTTTATAAAATTKAAAGGCAAGAATGTTATCTAGTATTAGTGTTTTACCTAAAGTAAGTTATGATTGTCTTCAAATTTACAAAAAAAATCAGAAAATCTTATGGAAAATTCATTGTGTACCTTATAGGTTTCATATATAGGGTTATATATATACTATATAGGGTTTCAATTACTTAAAAAAAATTTTTTTTTTAATATWAAATTAAAATTTTAAACACCATGATATATGTATATCTGGAAGGCCGTAGAGGCGTAAAAAAATGTTCCGAGGGCCGAGGGATGCTGCTGGTGCCTGCCTAGTGCTATATGTAATAAAAAATACTGCGCATTTAGTATTTACAAATATACAATCAAACACATAATGTTAATTACTGTAAGGCCCGGATTCTTCTACAATTGAGYTAGAATAATTTTGATCAAAGATGTCCACATTTCGTGGTCTTTAAAGTTTATGGCTAATTTTTTTTTTGCATATTTTTGAATATTTCTATATAATTGCATAGAGGTTGCATTTAAAAAAAAGGTTAATGAATTTTTTTTATATTTGCTATAAGGACAGCTGCAGCTGACGCTGATAGATTATATAATATATTACGTGGTATACGTCTTGCTACCTATACATYGCAGAAAATAGATGATGGTTTCCTATATTCAAAATTGACTTTTCATTTTTAAAATTTTAAGTGTAGTATTTTTAAAATTTAAATATTTTATTTCAATCCTCTATTTATTTTAAGTCACTTAAATCACTGTTTATATTACCATATATTTTCCTACTATATTATCATACAAATCAAGGTGAATATATAATATCAGAATGAATTTTGTAAAATAAATTGAAAATATTACATCAAAAACTAATAATTTTATTAGTTTTATACACATTATTTTGTATTGAAAATATGCTAAAGTTTATGTGCCAAAAAATAACTTTTTTAAAAATCATTAAAAAATACATAATAATTAATAGTTTATAGGTACAATTATTAAGTATTAAAAATGCTAATATTAAAATTCAATTCAAACATAGTTTTCAATGGCACTATAGGTATATACATTAAAATAATATGTATATAATATATATATAGAAGTTCTATAAAAATAAAAATAAAAATAAAAAACAAATAAATTAAAAATCACAATTATTGAATAAATGCTAAGAATTCAAATGATCTTGAATGTAAGTGGCAATCAATAGTCTGAAAATCTGAAATATAATAAAATTGCATTAATTATAGATGATAGGCATTATAAAAATAAAATTCTAGAAATATTAACTAGTTTAAATCTAGTTTTTTTTTGTGTGAAATACGAAAATTGTTTTCTACGGTCAAAACTAAAAAGGTATATGATTATTAAATGTGTTACAACTGTATTTTGTGTTATGATGACTTATATAAACTAACAAGTAACAATTATTTTATATAGGAAACTATAACAGCATTTATTGTCTCCATCTTACAAATGTACAACATAGCAAAAACTGTTTTGTGCRGGATAGAACCACTTAGGCTGTATAGTGATAAATGATAGTAATGATATATTTCAAATTGATATACAATATTATAGTTGAGAATATATTTGTCAAATATTGTTTTTATTTTTTCGTTATGAATTATATGAACAAAGATCTTATTCAYTATTATTTCAATACTCATTATTTTTGTATTATWTGAACTTGAATATTTTTATTTTTTTTATAGTTTAGTTTGATATTAATAAAATAAAAATCATATTTCACAGCCAAAYTTCCCCTTTTTATGTGGTAAAATTTTCGTTTCTTAGTTATGACTGTAGTCTTGGTTCATTCCTGCGCAAAATAGTTTTTGTTATGTTGTATATTATATGAAAACGGAATTGTTTCAATAAACTATTCCGTTTAAACCACTGTATTTGATAATATTTAATGAAAATATTTATATTGTCTTTAAAATCATAAATTATTTAAACATCTATGTCGTATCTGTACCAATAAAATGTTATTAGACTATATTTGAAAGTCATATGATTTCTCAAGTTACCTATTTGACTATTTAAGGTTRTAATTTGTAAGTATAAACGCGATGAACATTAAGTTATTTTAAAATTATAATTATAAGAAGTTCTACAAAAAATTGCTATTTTCTAGTATCATAGGTATTAAAATTAGATTTAAAATCCAGAAGTTAYATTATTATTGCTTATATCTCAGTAGTGTTTCTTAATAATTTAATTKTTATACATTATGGTAGGTGGGTACCTTGATTATTGACACTTACCCTCCGTCGGAATGGCTACCCGAATGCGCCGAACTAGCTGAATAACTGGCCTGGAACGGACCAAATCCAAAACTGGCGGACTGGCTGTTGGCCGCGCTCTGGCTATGACCATTACTGCCACCGTGACCGCCTGAGAAGCTTCCCGCCGAAGCGTAACTTCCCGCACCGCTGCCGCCGCCGTGTTGTTGTGGCCGCTGCTGGTGGTGGTATTGTGGCTTGTGGTGTTGTGGCTTGTGGTATTGRGGCCTGTGATGGTACTCAGGCTCATGATGATAYTCGGGCTCATACTCGTGCTCTTCCTGATGGTAGTGGTGATGGTGTTGCTGRGTCTTGTACGGCTTTTCAAAACCACTTAAGATGCCGAGGAACGGACTGGCTGACCGGATGGGCCTGACCACCGCGGGGTCGACTTGTACATCTCGATGTACCGACAACGCCGCCGGTTCGTCCACGGACTCCATCACCTGAGCAGACACGAACTGTCTGTACTCGGCTGAAATACATTAAAAGTTATCAACATTGATTATTTGGTTAAATAAGCTATATACATTAAAAAAGGGTGTCATATTCATTTGGGCGAATATCCCAAAATTTACCTGAGTAAAGCATATATCATTTGGGCGAGAAATTGACATGATCGTTTAGGCGAATTTATAAATTATTGAATAATAGCGAAGTAACATACCTATGTCTACAATAATTTTTATAATATTTACTACAGCTAAATATTATTATTATATCGTTTCGGCTGATTGGTATTTATACGCCAATTTACAAATATATCATCTATAGATAGTGAATGATAATTTGTTAGACTGTACTAAGACGTGTGGGTTTTCATTTTTTGCCCACG